GGAGCTTGCCAAAGAAGCTCACCGGAACTCGCTAAGAAGATCATCATCAAGTCCAAGAGCTTGTCGGGAGTCCGCTGGAACATTACCGAGAGAATCGTCGGAAGCTCGTCGGAAGAAACTAGACTTACGCACTTGTTTAGCTTAGTAAATGTCTTAGAATTCATAGTTAGCACATAATTGAGATTGAAATTGGGTCAACCCAATTAGGGGCCAGTTGGGCCCATGATGAACTATGTTGAGCCCAATGAAAAGACCCAAACAGTGACCTAAGAGATAACACCGTCATAGCACAGTCTCCGAGACTATGTCAGGCGGTGGCACCACCCAGATACAGTCTCCGAGAGGCTACAAGCGATGGTACTACCCAAACTGGGCAGTGGTACCGCCTAGTGGCAGGGTGCCAGGTGGTGGCACCGCCCTTGTCAAGCGGTGATACCGCCCATTGTTAGACTGACATTGGCAGTGGTACCGCCCATACCCAGAAAACCCAAGATGAGATATTTTTAGGCTCTAATTTTGAATCAACTTGAAGCCTATAAATACCCCTCTCATCCCTGGTTAAGATACAAGACTTGAGAGTAAAAAAAGAAAGAAACGTTGTTGTAATCTTGTATGAACTCCTCTCAAATTTCTAAGTGTTAGAGTAGTTTGAGAGAGGAGTGAGTCGGGGTGTAAGGGTTATCTCCTAAACCCGGTAAAAGGAGAATTGAGTTGTAAAAGGTGGTTGGTCTTTGTCTATTGAAAGAAGACCGATAGTAAATGAGGATTTGATTTATGAATTTTTAAGTATGAGATGATCACTTGCAAGAATGAGGATTTGATTTCACATGAATATTTTGATCCTTTTTCATGAATCCCTTCTTTTTATCAAAATTGAAGCCTGATTTAATGAAACTTATTTTTTTTTACTTAGTTCAAATCATTTTACAAATTTGGTTCTTAATGGATTTCCTCCTTACTTTCTTTCCTCTCCTTCATGCAAATGGTTTGATGACAAAGGGGGAGAAGTTGATGGAATCTATCACTTTAATGTTGATAACTTTTGATGTTTTTGAATGTTATCATGTAACGATGCAATATCAATTGAATAAGTTAGTGTGAACAATGCTTGAATTTTATCACACTTGCATTGTTGAATTGTTCTCCTTTTTGTTGATGACAAATGGGGAGAAATGATATGTTAAATTGATGATAAAATTGAAATTATAAATGTATGCAATGTATCCTATCATAAATGCTTATCATAAATTCTTGTATGTGTTGTGTATGCTTGAAATATTATTGGAATCGTTATATACATTGCAACACATCCCAAATGCTTGAAACATATCAAAATGTACTTCATATGCATTGTAGATAAATATCTTTCATTATGATAAGATAAGATATCTTGAGCTTAGCTTGCTATTTTACAATTGATATCTTGCCATTGAATGATGAATTGCTATTTTTATCATATTGCTATGTTTCATATTTGAAATTAGTATCATACTTGAAAATGATGATTGTATATCATTAGACTTGAAAATGGATGTCTTGGCATCATTTTCTTTATAAATACATGGCATCATATTTTGAGAATGTTAAATTATGATAGGAATCATGATGTGTATGTTGATAAGTTTAAATGAACTTAATCTATTAGTTTAATACTTGAATTCAAAGGCTTTGAATTCAAATTTTTTTTTTCTTAAAGTATGGCATATAGATAGGGGGAGTTAAGGATAACTCCGTCATCAATTGATTGTCATCATTAAAAAGGGAGAGATAGTTGAATCTCTAATTTTGATGATGAAATCAATTATTAATTGTTAGATCTAATCTATATATTGAGAAAAGTGAGTAGGATTAACTACAATAGCAGTAAGATAAAAAACAGGTGTTGTGTCGGAGTCAAGATCGAGATCTCATTGAGAGTTCAAGAGTTCGTCGGAAGTTCGGACGTTCGTCAGAAGTTCTGTCGGAACCAACCGAGAAGTCTAGGAGCTTGCCAAAGAAGACCGTCGAAACTTGCCAAGAAGATCATCGTAAAGTTTAGGAGCTTGCGGGGAGTCCGCCGGAATATTGCTGGCAGTTCGTCAGAAGTTCGCCGGAAGATCGTCGGAAGCTCGCCGGAAGAGCAATTGACGTACTAGAACAAGATGCTTTGTCAATTGTCTTAATTATTATAGTTAGTCCGTAAATTGATTTAGGATTGGGAGATAATCCCACTAACTTAGTTAGGGACCAACTGAGCCCTTAATAGGGTTGAATTAAGCCAGATTGAATAGCTCATTCAGCCCTTGAAATCATGGCCGGCGGTGGCACCACTGACAGTTAATGTTGCCAGCGGTGGTACTGCCCCTGTCAAGCAGTGGTACCACCCAGTGTCAGACTATAGGCGGTAGTATCGCCCAGTAATGGTGGTGGTACCACCAGTACCTCGAAATTCGGAGATATGACACTTTTGGCTCTAATTTTGAAGCCACTATGGCCAATAAAAACCCCACCCTTTCCTACATAAAAGGGCATAAATGTATTGGCATAATCTTGAGTCTTTGAAGTGTTAAAGAGTTGTAAAAGTGCTAGAGTCCTCCTCCTCCCTTTCTAAGTGTTGAGATCATTCAAGAGAGGTGTGAGACTTGTAAGGGTTCTCTCCTAAACCCGTGAAAAGGAAAAAACACTATAAATAGGTGATTGGTCTTCGCTTATTGAAGAAATGTCATTAGTAGACGTCGGTAACCTTGACGGAGGAGGAATCTGAAAATGGATGTAGGTCACAACGACTGGACCACTCTAAATTCTGGTTTGCTTTTCATCTGTGCAATTTACATTACTGCAAACTTCCTTAATATTCTTTTTGCACTTTTACGAAAGCTTTCGAGTTCAATTTCTCTCAGAAATGGATTGAATTAAAATGAATATTTTTCAGAATCGGGTTTAATCGGGAAAGTTTTCCTTTGCACTAATTCACCCTCCCCTCCCCCCCCCCCCCAAGTGCCGCTCTTGATCCTAACATCATCATCAAAATATGAGATTCAACAACTGGGAGCAATGTCACCGAGGGCGAGGAGCAACAAAGGGTCGCTAAGGCTAGGCGCTGCAAGGGGGTGGTCCGCTGGTTGGGAATAGCAGTGGTGGCCGTTTCTCGCTTGAGCGGGATAGGGTGCACGGTTGGAGGGCAGCTACGACACAACGAGGGTGGGTGCTGGCCGGGAAACAACGGTGATGGTGGTCATTGGCTGGAGAGAAGCAATGGTGGTGATCGATGGCCAAAAGCAGGGGAAGCAAGGGCGAAGTCTTGCTCGAGAAGTATGTAGCTGAGATGACCCTTTCCCATTTCAGAAAGGGTGCACGACTAGAGGGTGGCTACAACGCAACAATGGGGGGGTGCTGGTTGGGAAGTAGCGGTTGCGGTGGTCACTGGCTGGAAGAAGCGGCGACGGTAGTCGCTAGCCAAAATCAAGGGAACCAAGGGCGAAGTCTCGCTCAAGAAGGATGTAGCTGTGACGGTCATTTCCCGTTTCTCTCTCTCTTTTTTTTTTCTTTGAGATGATGATAACTGTGACGAAGTGTTGTGAGAAATTACAGCGAGAACATCGAGGATCGCTGTTTTGATACCAAATGATAAGATCCTAGGATTTTAGCATAGAAGAAAGAAGAAAAAATTGATGATCACTTTGAGGGGATCGACCTCCTAGGGTTAGTCAAAAGACTTAATAATATTTCATTATCTGTCGAAAAGAAATAGTTACATCCCTATTTATAGAGTTCCACCTAAAGTTTACCAAGACTTAAATTTTTAATAATAAATAAATATTAAATAAATCTTTCTAAATAGACTCAATAAATATTATTCAAAAGTAAAAAAAATAAAGGAACCTAATAGTATTAGTAGCATTCGTATTATGATCATATACCAATAGATGTATAGTAATAGTCGATTTTTTTTAGTCATATTAATCTTACACTATAAAGAAACAGTCTAGTGATGATAACTGCAGCTCCAATGCATTCTAACCTTTGCAATCATACACGCCATGGTTATACTTGCGCGGGCGGCTCCTACAAATGCATCAATGACACATTATTTACCATATAATCCGTCATGCATTTTTTGATGTTTGGGTTCGGTCATAAACTCCTATTCTGGTGGGTGAGGCATGTATATATTAATATTATTTTGATATTCGATTTTTATTAAATCTTAAGAGTTTCCATATCTAATAAAAACATGTCTGCTCTTCAATCCAAGAAAACAACCTTATTTGAAGGAGCATCTAATACGTATTACTTCAATCTAAATTTATCAAAAGTTTTATTTTCAATCCTTAGCCACTAAACAATTCAGTTTCATATTCCACTGATTTAGATTTACTTAATTCTTATTTAGATTTTATAAATCAGAAAAATAGGAGAAAAACATCAAATGACGACGATGCTGTGATAGAGTTCTTCTTTGATGGATCCTAAAATTAGAAATTCTATTTTTCAATCCTTAGCCACCAAGCAATGCGGTTTCATATTCTATTGATTTATAACTCAGATTTATTTTATTCTTATTCGATTTGATTTTATAAATTAGAAAAATAGGAAACAAAACTAAAATATTATTTAAAAAATAAAAATAAATTTCGACTGAATTTTCAATAATTTTTCTGAAATATCGATATTTATAATGGCACCAATTCATATATACCGAACCGGTCATGGACCAATACGATATCGTGGTTCGAAGTTTCATTCCTTGCGCATACATGCACATTCAACCTTATGACATATTCCACCAACAAGAAAAGCAGCTTATTTCATGAACAAACAGCAGAATCAGTGCAATCTGTTGCCTGCTCACGATCTTCTGAGAGCGCACACAGGATATTGAATATCTCTCATCAATTGTACTTGTAATGATAATTCACATCGTTCTCTGACAGACAATTTAGCACAAATCAGAACCTTATCATGAAAAAGAATCACCATTTGCAAATAGCCAAACAGATCGCACAAATAGTTTGTGCATGTAAAGCTGAAAAGACAGTAATCAATGGAAGATGTTTTTTAAGAATATGATGCAAAAACTGTCAGGTTAGTCACAAAGCTGCAAAACTCTTGATATGACAAAACCTTCAATTGCACAATTCTGTCATCCCTCAAAGAAAAAAAAAAAAAAAAGAAGCTAAAACACTCTGTTGGGAGGATTCAATACAACAGAAGCTTCCCTATGCTCGGTTTGTGTACTGGCCAGTTCGAGTATCCACCAAGATCTCTTCACCAGTGTTTACAAACAACGGCACATTTATGACCGCACCTGTGTCAAGAGTTGCTGGTTTTGATCCCCCTGCGATTTGTATTTTGTTCACGCAAACATTAGATATTCTTCTCACCTGAAGTTTATTATGTAAATAAATGAACACTGAAGAAATGTTGGTGGTGATACATTAAACCCATTCAACTATCCTCCCTGACCACAATTATAACCTTCATGTTTCCCTTCATGGAAAATGAATGTGCAACCTTTTTTCAACAAAAAAGGGGATGTGAACACTGTTCCAGTTAGAACTTCATTTTGCATATTCCGAACAGAGCTCTATTTTGTCTTAAACCGAAATCATCTGAAGTAGTATGCCTCCAATTGTACAAAATGTGGAGAAACATCAAGGAAAATGAACCGATGATGAGATTATATAACGACCAAAAAGTTGTGATACGATCACGTGAATGCTTTCTAGATCTTTTAGGAATTGTAAGCATGCACAAACGGTGGTAGGATTAGCTACGAGACAAAAGTAGAGGCACTCTATCGATAACTACAAGAAGAAAATTTGCATATAACCATATGAAAGGGCTCTGCAAGACAGTTTCACTTGTCATCTGTGTTACATGTGGCAACTTAATGATGTTAGACAGCAGTTTTGGGACGTTTATATGCAAATAAATATTCTATCCAGTAGTGGTTGAATTAATGCATCAAAACTAAAAAAGAAAGAAAGCAACATCTATTCAGTTGAAAGAATCAATTATTAGCAACCTTTCTGGACCAAAGCTCGATTGTTAAATTGCAGAATCAGTAAGAAATCATTATATAAATCTCTCTCCTAAAGTACCTTGTGCAGTGTCACCTCTTACACCAGGATCCACTTCAACCACTGTCAGCTTAACTATGATGGGAAGTTCAAAATCGATAACCTATATAATTGTTCCACATTAGTTGATCTGAAACTTACACATCTTACAAGTGTAAATGCATCAACCAAAAAGGATTTCAATAAGAGACAAACAGGAAGGCAAAAAGATGAAGAGCCCCCAGCCAAACCCATAATCCGAGCACCCAACATTTTCCTGTTTTCACATAACAATAACTAAGGTGTGCATAAGCCACAAAGACCATGGTAGAGCAGAGACAAGGAATACCCGTCCATTCCAGAAAACCACATTACAGTCCATACCCTCCTTCAGCCATTTGGTCTTTTCACCAACTTCTGCTTCAGTCAGACGAGTTTCCTCGTAGGTAGCCTGTCACAAATTATCACATCAAGATATCTGCTATATCTTGTGAAGATTCACATATGTAATAGCATAAAATGAAAAGGGAGTATTTCAAAAGTATCTCATGTTTCAACACTGTCAGCCTTATGTGCAATGAGGTCACTGAGAAAATATATAAAAGCAGGTCAGTTATTTGAATGCTCTAGGTTAAACACCCAAATTTTAGTTTCCTGGACCAATATCAGATGAGGCATAGGCATAAAAGATAAGCTTCTCAGTTAAAAACCTGAAGCCAAGTATAGATTCAAGCACAAAAAACCTAATCAAGTCAAGTATAGAGGTCCTCAACTCTTTTCTATTTTAAAATAAACTACTCCACCATCTTTTAGTTTGATTCCATAAAATAAAATCAAGTTGTCAGGTGGATAATCATGTCTTTCCTAGTTTTCTACTGAACTGTTTAAACTCTTTTAATTCCTTTTGTCCTCAACTGATGACAAATCTTTCCAGAACTGTGCAATCTCTAAAAGTATTCTATCAGTAATGCCCAAGATAAACAGTTCCTGGTTCCACCGTGCATGCATTCTGCAAATAGGCCTCCATATGCATTATCAAAGAAAGAATTTTACCTAGATTTGCTAATAATTTATCAAGTTGGTTTTTGTTCTTGTCATGGAGACTGCCCTCCTTGAGAAATTAAGGGCTGACATGACCAAAGTGGACCTGTTGTCTTTTGATCACTCTTAACACATGCAAGGCGCTTCTAACCCAACTTTACTGGTCTATTAAGAACAACCACTTGAAGAGATCCTTAGATAAAACGTTGATATATAACAAGAATGAGATTCATATCACCTATTCCTAAAAATGCAGCTCAGTGATCACAAGATTCCTTAAGAACTCATAACCAGGCTCCCAAAATCAAATGACAGCAATGGAACAACTAGTTGGCTTCCCAAGATGCTTTAGAATCATAAATTCTCATCCAAGTTATAACTACCAACAAAAGGAGAAAGAAACTTATTCCTCAAGTAGATCGATGAGCAAATCTAAACATTGTTATCAGAAGGTGTCATAGAATTTAGTATGTGATCCTATATCCAAGTTGCAGACAAGAACCGAGAACACTGAATTACCACAACAGAGTGATATACCTACTTTACACCTTCATCAGTCAATCAATGCATCATAAATATTTTCTCATAGAGACTATGGTTGTCCTTGACATGTCATGCCAGATCATGTTAGTCATGGTAAGCGCAAAATCTTATCATGCCATGCCAAAACGTGACACAAATCCAACTGGGCAATTTGTATTAATCAGAATGCATCATCATGGCAATGTAATCGACAAAATGGAGAAGCATATATACAGTGGCAGATACCATCATATCATGCGCACACTTCGATAAGGTAAAAGATGAATGAAATGAATCATCTTTAAAAGTGTAGATAAATTAAACTATTCTATTATTCATTTGTGTCATAATTGCAAATGCGAAGGAATGCAAATTTGTACCAGATCCATGAACACAAATTGGGAGCCATCCTTGTATGTGAACTGTTTGGTTTCCTTGGCAATATTTGCTTCTTGAATCTGTCACAGCAGGGTACCACAGGGCATTAGGTCAATAAAAGAAACATAAAAGAAACAAAAAAGAAAAGGAAACAGTGGACCAGCCTATACATTTTACAAAGAAGAAGTAGTGTAAACCAAAAGCAATGAAGCAAATAACCCTACAAGGCCTGTCATGCATTACACTGATGCGGAAACACAAATTTCAGAAAGACGCCGAGGTTGTGTATCAGTATGAACTCGGATTTACCGTGCTTCCTGCTCGGAAGGTTTTCTCAACCGTGTTGCCTGTTATGTAGTTGCGCACTTTCGTTCTCACGAATGCTGCCCCCTTTCCAGGTTTCACATGGAGAAACTCTATCAAGTCAAACCAAAAACCAGAATAAAGTTAACCAGAGGGATGACTGCGAAGTTCGACGATGACAGCAACATTACACGGGAAAAGAACACTCTCTATAGTCTATAGTGGAGCACAAAAGGAAGCGATACCGAGAACCCGCCAGGGGGCGCCGTCGACTTCAATGTTGGACCCGACCTTGATGTCGTTGCTGGAGAAGGCGTAGATTCCTGAAATATGAGGGAGAAAAAGAGGGAGAGAATCAGCGATGAGGGGCAATCACAGGGAGGAGAGAGCTTCTGGCTCAGAACTACTATTATTACTAGGGAAGGAGGAAAACTTGGAGCGCAGAGGCGTGAAGGACAGGGTGCGAGCCCTCGCCATCGGCAGCATGGGGAAGGGAGAGGTCGGCGAGCAACGGAGCAGCCGAGCGTGGGAAGAAGAGAGGTGGAGGGAAGCCATTGTTGCCGTTCACACTCCCCTGGCGGTGTCCTCCAACTCACCGTGTTAATGATAAGGGCGTCCAGTAAACACATAATAATTAAAATTTTCCCTCTTTTCTTTCCCTTCTTTTCTACTCGAATATTTTCTCGACCGTACGATTCGTAAGCAAAAGCGATGAACGGTGATCATCAGTCCGGTTCCCTTCCCGCATAGGCTAGGGCTAACACGATCGACGGCAGGATTGACATGCACGGATCATGAAGCAGCTACAACGATGGACGAACCACCAAGCAAATTCGTCAGCCGGCCTTACCCCATCCGAGACCAAAACTTCAACCAGAGCCTGACTATGACGAGATATTCATACTTTACTACGGACATGCATGAAGAATGGCTGCAGAGACTCATAACACAAAAGAACATGGAATACTTGAGATAAGAAGATTATATATATATATATATATATATATATAATTGGTTGCAGAGACTAATTGAACAGGGAATACGTGAGATTAGAAGATTAGATTTATATATAAATATATATATATATATAAATATTGGATAAGCATGATTTTTTTTCCTGTATTCCATGTGAAGTATACCGCCTTCGGTCAAAACCAAGAAAAATCATAAATTTCCATCGCCTACGCACTGCTACTACTGCTACTACCTGCCTTCTTTGCAGCAAAGAGTTGACGAAGGAAAGAAAGCTTGCCTCCCCTCCGAGGGGAGGACGTCGCTGTGATGGCGCCGCGGGTGTTCATCACGGCAGGCACAGCGTCGGGTTCTGGTGAAGGCGCTGGTGGAAGGGTATAAAGGAAGGCGTTTAGCATGCGAATGATCTGGCTGAAGCTGGGCCGCGTGCTGGGATCCTCCACCCAGCATGACTGCACAATGAACACGAGCTCCGGTGGCGTGTCTTCAGGCAGCGGTGGGCGCATTTGCTGCATGGATTTCCCGGAGCAACAAAACAGTAAGTTCAAGTCAGCAATCAGTAGTCCGGTGATGGGGTAAACAATCACAGACAGTGCATGCACGACAACTTTGATCAATATATCTAACACAAGCATTGTAATTCTTAGAACTTAAAACAAAATTCCAAAAGTCACTCGCAAGATTATAATAGGCATCATCGCCTGCTAATCAACTAATCAGATTACCTCAAGGACTTACGTATATAAAATACAAAGTGATTGGCTAAGACAAATAGTCCATTATAAAAGCCCCATATAACATTTAACAGAAGTATCATCTAATTTTGGAACCCCTTTGTTGTTCAACTCTACATGTAGTAGAAAATTACCTCTAGATAGAATCCACCAGGGTATGGTTCAAACCGAAACAAAACCAGTCAAGCATCAAAACCAAACTGGGTATGATTCGACAGTTCCAAACTGAACCGAAATCGGGTTCTGACGGTTCAGTTCCAAACAAGATGAAAAAACAAGTGGGTTCCAGGGTGCAGTAGTTATCACTCCAAGCTTAATGACCGGTTCAAAACTCGGGCAAGTAATTTACTTTTTTGTTTCTCTTTATCAATCAAAACTGATGGTTTGAACCGAAATCAGATCCGCCTAGTACTGGTTTGGTTTTGGTTCTGAAATCAAAACCGGTTTTGGAACCATGATCAGGGTACCTCTAGAAAGTTATATTCAACAAATTTTTCTATGATACGGTGGAGTAATATCATTTACTGTTGTAGGTGATCAACGACTAATGGCTCCAAATCAGCAACCCCAATAGTATATACTTCTGTGCAAGTATTTGCCTCTTATTTTTCGTTATTTCTAAATGAAATCGTAATGAAGCCCCAAGGGTTTATGGGTGCTTCAAAGATTAAACACTAGATAAAGGCTTCACTTGACAACCACCTGACTATCAATAGATGATAATCTTAGAAGTGATAGTAATGATGCTTAAAAGCAAGGATTGCTATACCACTCACGGTATGGTACGAGCAGTACATACTGGTCTGGGAGTGGGCCAGTACGTGGACCACCCCTGTTTCAAACGATCAGATTAAAAGAATAAAAAATCAGAAAAGTGGCAGGGTCCATCCAACTCAGCATTTAAAAAAAAAACAAATTAGGGCTCGTGTTCTAACACAAGCCCTCTTCTTGCATACAACGCCGCTACTTCGCCACTGCAACTGCCATTGTTCATTCTTCTTCCCACGTATGCTCCCACCTCTTCTCCTCTTCTTCCTTCCTTTTTTCTTCCACTGCTTCTTTCTTCTTCCTCCACCTTTTCTTCCCTCTTCCTTCCTCCTTCCTCCTTTTTTCTTAATCTGTTCCTCACCATCCATTCCTCTTCTCCCTCATTTTCTTCCTCTGTAAAACACCGATAAATATACCGATGTACTGTGTCAGTACACTAATACTGACAGGTATGTACCAGTCCAACAGATGGCTGAAATGGCAAACCTTGCTTAAAAGCACCACCAAATGTGATGCAGAACCTCCACATATAAATGGTATGTACTGTGAACATTCTAATGTATGGCTCCTGGCCAGCACAAGTTCCCTACATTGCTGAAGCACATCATGTAATCCCATATGCTTTAAATATTAATTATATATGGGCCATGAGGTCTAAGAATCCCACTCAACTTTATCAACTTGTATCCTAAGATGTTTCAATTTTTCATTTCTATGTGGCCGTTTTACTTTCCCATTTTAGCTTCCATTGTCTGTTAATCTAAATAATTCCTTTAATTCATTAAAAACTCATATGCCATCGAATCACCCACACCGTTGAGTATAAAATTAAATGAATCAACTCTGAGGAACTTCTTTAGTTCTCCATTTTGCTCTGCTTAAATAATTCTCACTGACATGTCAGGTGGAAAAGCCTTATCCCTCAATCTTGCACATCTTGATTATGGAATCGACTCCATTCCTAAAAAATATTTCATGCTTGTGCAGCTTAGTCAGTTGCATTTTAGTTGAAATTTTATGAGATAGTAAAGCACCACATTGCAGCTGATGCATCCATGTACATGTTCACAAAACGAAAGAATCACTAGACTGCAAAGTAAAAGCAATACAAGCCCTCACAGATTATTTACCTACCAAATTACTAGAGGCAACTAGTTCGCAAAGTAAAAGTGAAAAGAAAAAAATCACAAGCATTGCACATCATGTAAGCTTGCAGCAACACATTTTCGTTTGATTAGTTTTATATGGCCAGTAATCTAATCCAATGGATGCACCTCTCTACTACTACTTGCAATTAATAAACAAGTCTTCTCATCCTTTATCTACCATGCATTCCCCATGACATTTACCGAAGCAAAAAATAGGTGATCGCTCTTGGTGGGGGAAGAAAAAAATAAGCCTACAAGCATTATCATGAAATTTATAAGGTTTAAGTTGACAATGGAAGCATCACAGATCATAGTAGTAAAACCAATTGTAGTTTGAAGTATATTGTCTTCCCAGCAATTAGTACAGATACCAATAAAGGCAGTCCAACAACATTACATACTATCGCATGCTAAGCTACAAAGCAGTAAAGATGAAAACCAGAAAGCACTAATCATTAAACAATGATAATCAAGTAAATCTTCAGCCGACATGTGGGGCAAAACTTATAAAGTTCAACTGATAATAGAACAAGTGGAGTTCTACAAGTAGGATTAAGTTAGTTACTTTTCGATTATGCACCTCACTTTCTACTGGAAACTATAAAATATTATTGCAGATTTGATTAGAAAGAACTTTATAAAGCTCCAAGACTGACTCAAGACACAGTAAACAAAGGAAATTGAAAGGAGCAACATGCTAACCTTAAAAGCAGCAGCATAAGCAGCCTGCAAGTTTGACATGCCTTCAAATGGCATTCGATTGGTCAACAACTCCCACAATACAATGCCAAAGCTGTAAACATCAACCTTGTTGGTGTAGTGCTTCTTCTCACCACGACGCAGAGTAACTGTACTATATAACTGCAACAGCACAATAGAAAGAAGAACCATAAGCAAAATAGCAAATAACTCTAGGATTGCAACGGAGAAGATTGAGAAAATTAATTGAAAGCATTGAACCAGCTTTAATGCTTTGACTGATTACACTTTTAACTGTAAACCAATGCTGTGAATAAACTTAGTCCTGAAAATCAAAATAACTATGATATGAGCAACAAATCCTAGCATACCACCAGCAAAGACTTAAAACATATGTAAAACTGAATACAATTTTTATTCACAATTTGTCTACAATTTCTAATACACAACCAGCAGATATCACAAAAAGTTCAGCATATAGCATATTCTATAATCTCATTCAAGCCATAAGCACCAACATTGGTGATTTACTTCAATTAAGGTTTGCTAGGTTTTATTTGTAAACTTAAGTACCGACATGAATTTTTTGTTAATAAGAAAAAGCTGTAGAATAAAAGGATAAGCATACTGAGTACTGGCAAAGTTTTAACAGTTCGACTTGCTCCTTGGTAAAGCATATGAAGAACAATGTAAGTTGTGGAGAAAGCTTGATAATTATGTTAATATAAACAAATGGCAGTTACAATCCATAAACAAATAAATAAGCTACTTCCTAAGAGTATATTAAGAAAATCATGGAGAATTCAAAAACATAGGAAATGACTCAAAACAGCCATCTGTAAGGTGACGTTCTTCACACCATGTCATCTAAATCATGGGTTATGGACTAACACTATGACAATTTTTGAAGCAGGCAAAACTTTTAAATAGGACATGTCCATTAAGATCCTCATATCCTCTACTTAAAACTATATGTGCATGTCCAATCACCACATATTTCCAAGACACCAAGAAAAAGGAAATTAGATGTTAACAAGTAACAAATACATGATAACCATTGAAGTCAATGGTGTATCACCTCAGGAGCCATCCATCTGTAAGTTCCAGTTTCGGCAGTCATCATCTCAGTAACTGTTTCTTCTCTTGCAAGTCCGAAATCAATAAGCTTCACATTCTTCTGGTTTGCCGTAAGCAACAAATTATCTGCACATTTTCATTTATTAAACTATACACTCATGCACCAAAAGGAACAAAAACAACAATAACTATGATAACATGCTGCTCACAGATAGGCAACACTCATACACTCAGCGAGAGGCAATCTACATCATGCAGCTCACAAATTTCATTAACTATGTTAACATGGTACTCATGGTCATCACTATACCAAACTTTGATGTACAGTAACAGCATAAAGTATTATTTGCAGAATCTCTTTGTGATCCCTACCAAAAGTGTCCCATGTCTGCAATGAGATGCATAAGTTGCCAATTTGAGAATGCACATATAAAATGTACTGCAACTCATTAACATGGTGACCTATTCCGTTTCTTTAGCTTATGTAT